TTTCCGAGACCAGCCTGGCCAACATGGTGAAAACCCCATCTCTACAAAGATACAAAATTTAGCCAGGCGTGGTGGTGGGCACCTGTAATCCCAGCTACTTGGACAGGCTTAGGCAGGAGAATCGCTCTTGAACCTGGGAGTGGAGGTTGCAATGAGCTGAGATTCATTCCCACTGCACTCCAGCCTGGGCAACAGAGTGAGACTCTGTCTCAAAATAAATAAATAAATAAATAAATAAAATAAAATAAAATAAATAAATAGAAAGTCAAAAGTAGTGAAATAATTTTCAAAATGTGGGGGGGATAACTGGCAATGTGAAATTCTGCTTTTGCTAGATAATCATGCAAGTATGAAAGGAAATAAAAGAAACTTTAAAGACAAGCTTATCATTCATGAACTTTTTTTTTTGAGACAGAGTTTCACTCTTGTCACCCAGGTTGGAGTGCAATGGCGTGATCCCAGCTCACTGCAACCTCTACCTCCCCGGGTTCAAGCAATTCTCCTGCCTCAGCCTCCTGAGTAGCTGGAATTACAAGCACCCGCCACCCACGCCCAGCTAATATTTGTGTTTTTGTATAGAGACAGCATTTCAGCACGTTGGCCAGGGCTGGTCTCGAAACCTCCTGACCTCAGATGATCTGCCTGCCTCAGCCTCTCAAAGTGCTGGGTACAGGCATGAGCCTACCATGTCTGGTCCATGGACTCTTACTAAAATAACTTCTATTTATTTCTATATCTTTTGAATTTTTTTGTCTCAAGATCTGTTTGTGGATAAAAGATCTTTTAAGAGACTTTACTTCAGTAAAAAAAAAACAAAAAAAAAACAACAGAATAAAAGAACACAGGAATAGTAGGATGCAAGAGGCAATGGTGAACAAAAGACTCTGGTGAACACTTTGTTTAATCTAATAAAGAGTTGACTATAAAATGACCACCAGGGGATTAAACAACAAGGTGGAATTAAAGAGTACTAGACAGCCAACATCTGAAGATGGGAGAGCACTCCTGACTTCAGGTGATCCGCCTACCGTGGCCTCCCAAAGTGCTGGGATTACAGGTGTGAGCCACCACACCCAGCCTGACTTTCTGTTTTAGCCATTGAAGTCCTTTGTCAATCCAATTATTACTCTGTAGGTAATCTGATTTTCCCTCTGGTTGCTCTTGCAATGTTCACTTTGTCTTTGGTGTTCTGCAATTTCCCTGTGAAATATCTTTGTATGGATTTATTTTCATTTCCTCCTGGAGATTTGCTGTGCTTCTTCAACTTGGAAAGTATGCAGTCATTATCACCTCAAACGTTTATTTCCCATTCTCTGTCTTGGAAATTTTGTCAGATCTACTGGGCCTTATCTTTCTACTCTCCGTGCCTCTTCAAATCTCTTCCGTATTTCCCATTGCTTTCTCTCTCTGTGATACATTCTGCAAAATCTCCTCTTATGTTCCAGTGAACTAAAGGATCTCTTCATCTTGTGTTTAATTATGTGTTTAGCTTATCCACTGAGTTTTTTATTTCAGTGACTAAATTTTTAATTTCAATGACTATATTATTTGTTTCCAGAAGTTGTGGGTTTTTTCCCCGCAAATCTCACTCTTCCTTTTTCATCGTGTCCTGCTTTTTTCATTAGTGTTCCTACTCCTTTATCCCTAGCTCTCTTTATTTGGAGCACAGGCAAATCCACATCCACATCGTCTAGAAGTCTGAAGTGCTGTACTAATATCTAAAATAGTAATATCTAAAATTAGAAGATAGATGTAGTAGATAAATTGGGGGATAGATTGATGTGGGAAGATTTGAGTCAGAGAGAGCAGCTGAAGGGTTATTGCAGTTGTGCGGGTAAGAGAAGATGAGGATTGGACTGTGTCAGTAGCAGAGGGAGTAGAGAGGAGTGACATATTTGAGACAGCATTTGGGAGGCGGAAGCAAGAGGACCTGGTGAGCAATCGAATGTGAAAGAATAAAGGAGAAAACAAAAGCAACGGTGATTCTGAGGGTTGTAGCATGGGTGGCTGGAAGGATGGTGGTGCCATTGACAGAGAAGGGGCACAGATGAGGAGGAACAAACCTGCCTAGGAGTTCCATCGTGAAGCTGGGTTTAGACACAGTGAATGTGCCTTCAGGTGGAATGCCCAGCGGATAGGCAGACTTAAAAGATCTGGTGCTTGGAAAAGAAATCTGGGCTGTACATAATATCTATCTGAGAGTTAATAGTGTATATATTTTGATAGTATCAGAAGCTGGAGAAGGGCCTTGAGGAGGCGAGGTTGTCCAGGGAGAATATGGAGAGTGAAAAGGAAGAGAGAAAAGGGTGGAGCCTGTGGAACATCAGCATCCAGGGTGCATGTGCTTTGGCAAAGGTCTGGAAAGCTCCCGAAAAGATGAAATTCTAAGGATGGCTGAAAATACTTGGTTAGAGAGGGAGGAGGAAAACCAGGAAAAAGTAATATTGCCAAAACTAAGGAAAGTTTTAAGCAAGGAGGGAATGGCCAATAATGGCTATGAAGTAGAGCCTGAAACGTTGGACTTGGCTGTCATGTGGACATTAGTTGTCTTGTGGAATCATTTCCTGGGGATGAGGTAGGGCAGAAGATAAGAGTGCAGTGAGTCAGGAGCATATGAAGCGGGAGGAAGTGAAGCTAAGTAGACTACTCTTTCAAGAACTTTGGCTACACACAGAAAAAGATGGGGTGAGAGCTGAAGGTTAGAGGTGGTTGGGAAGTGTGGGGTGGGATTCAAGGCTGAGGAAGGGTGTTCGTTTGCTTTAAGACAAAAAAGACCTAAGCACATTTGCAGGCCAAGGGTGAAACATTCAAGAGGAAGAGCAGCTGTCAGTCAGCTCTTGGATCATCTTGGCTTTGCACTTTCCAGAATCGCCTTTGGATCAGACTTTGCTCTGCTTCCAGCAAAGCTCTTTCCTCTCCACAGACATACTTTCTCTAAGACCGCTGCTCCAAATTGTCCTAAATCCAAAAGATAGGATCTGTTAGAGTCTTTTATTGTAATTCAATCTCTAAATATGTAACCAGAAAATTATAAGAAAAACTTTTCCTAAAGGAACTTCAAAGACTACTGTTAAGGAGTTTACTTCAAATGCAAACAAACCTCTGGTTTCAGAAAATCTTGATTATGCTATGTCAGGCAGATCAGGAGAGATTTTTGTGTGATTCTGGAAGAAGCTGGAATAGTTTTGGTGTTTTGAGGAGGTAGCTACTTGAATCCTAGCAGTTGAAAGATCATTAATACATCCTTCTATACAGCTCTATCTTCTAGCCTGATGAGGAGGTAGAGGCTGCAGTGAGCCGAGATCGCGCCATTGCACTCCAGCCTGGGCAACAATGAGACTCTGTCTCAAAAAATTAAAATAAATAAATAAGGCCGGGCACAATGGCTCATGACTGTAATCCCAGCACTTTGGGAGGCCGAGGCAGGCAGATTATCTGGGGTTGGGAGTTTTGAGACCAGCCTGACCAACATGGAGAAACCCTGTCTCTACTAAAAATACAAAATTAGCCAGGCGTGGTGGTGCATGCCTGTAATCCCAGCTACTCAGGAGGCTGAGGCAGGAAAATCACTTGAACCCAGAAGGTGGAGGTTGAACCCAGAAGGCAGAGTTTGCAGTGAGCCAAGATCGTGCCATTGCACTCCAGCCTGGGCAACAAGAGCGAAACTCCATCTCAAAATAAGTAACTAACTAACTAACTAAATAAAAATAAAAATATTAAATTATCCAGCATTAAACAGACCATTGGAATATAAAATGGACTGAGATGAGACCCATCACCCCTTCACTAGGCTTACAAACAGATGTTTTACCATCCCAGATATACAAACACCAGAGAGAACAGCAGAGCAGTTAGGTTTGCTGTCCATCCACAGTAAGCTTTGTTAGTGGATTGAGTCTTATGAGACCATCTTTCTGTTTAGGTTCGTTTGGGAAAACATGTGATTTTTAAATTATATGTAGTATAGTATCTACTACCTAGCTCTTGGTAACTGTGCTCATTTATAGGCATGGCAGACTAGAGTATAGATGAAGGAGGGAAGAGAATTTCCTGAGTCTGGTTTTAAAAGAAAATGTACCATGTTGTAATCTTAGGAGGCAGATTTACACATAGCCTTTTCCAGGAGTAAAGAAATGATTTTCTTATAAAGAAATCATTAAATGTGCAACAGGTTTTTTTTCTTTTTACCTCCAGAGGTTAAACAAATTGGTAGCATGAAATAGTGTCTGCTTTAAATTTCTTTAAAGTTCTTTTGTAAATATTAATATCCACAGGGATGTAACTATTGAAAAGGTTACCCCAGGGACAGAGACATACAAGGGAGGAGAAATTTCTCAACAAAGGGCCTCAGAAAATAAACTTTCTGACCTGAAGGGAATTGTCCCCAGAAAGCCCGTGGGAACTGAAGTGACTGTTTACTTATGTTTATGATATTTAAGCAAGTGTTATACTGAGCAGTGGTTGTGTTGATGGTTGTTGTGTATGTATTCTCAGTTTGTGTGTAATATTACACTTGTTCTGGCTAAGATTACACACACAAACAGACAGCCTTTTAGTGAGAAGCCTTCCTGATGTTTTGAACTGGTTGAATCATCAAGACTACTCTCACCAGCTACGTAACCTCATTGGTTGAGAAGCTATCTCTGGAGGAAGTCTCAGTAGCTAAGTATATTCTGCGTTCAATAAGAGTTCTGTTCAGTTGCTTGGTTTTTTCACATTCAAAGTGCCTTACAACAAATAAGTTTATCCCCAAGTGCAGTATTGCTGGAACTCTTTCCTTCAGGAGGCATGATTTAAAGAAGAAAATTGAGATATTTTGTAAACTATCAAAGGGCAAGTAAAACATAACGGTAGATTAAAGCCTATTTTCGTTTTGCTTTGTAGGAATTTATCCGAGAACAAGTGGAGGTAAGCTTTTCCTTTATTTTGGGGTTTCACACAGAAGCATCACACATAAAAGGCTTTGTTGTTCCATTTCCTTTTCCTGTTAATAACGTGTTTATGCATTAGCTGCTCCAGACCACAGGAGGCATCCAAGGGACATTGCCACTGACTGTCCAGAAGGTGTTGGCATCCCAAGCCTGCCATGGTAAGCCCTTCAACATAGCAGTGATCAAACGCCTCTGCATGCAGAGCCCTGGCAGGGCTGCCGGGATTACAAAAGAGGCAGAGGGCACATTTACTACTTAACTCTTGGAGAATACAATTTAGATCAAGAAACTGGAATGTACATTTTAAAAAATCACTTTTACAAAAACAAAATCCCAACACACAAATTTGACTGTAGTGCTGCCTGACCTATATGAGTGGAGGAATAACTCCTAGAGGAGATGCATTTTGAGTTGAATTTTGAATTAGCTGGGGGACATGGGCTCATAGCATGGAAGGGGGAGCTCACTACAGGGAGAGTAAACAGCCTGTGCAGAGACGCAGAACAGAAACAAATTAGCTATGTGAGAAGCAGCAAAGAGTATCAAGAAACTAGGCAGGTAAGAGAACAGAAACCTAGAAGGTCACAGCAAAACCTTTGGATTTGATACAGAAGGCATTGGAATTAGCAAGGGTTCTTTTCTTTTCTTTCCAACTTTTATTGTAGCTTCAGGGGGTACATGTGCACTTTGTAACATGGGTGAATTCCATGTCGCAGGGGTTTGGTGTACAGATTATTTTGTTACCTAGGTAATGAGCATAGTACCCAATAGGTAGTTTTTTGATCCTCACCCACCTCCCACCCTCCACCCTCAAGTAGGCCCAGGTGTCTGTTATCCCTTCTTTGTTTCTATGTGTATTCAATGTTTAGCTCCCACTTGTAAGTAAGAACATGCAGTATTTGGTTTTCTAATTCACTTAGGATAGTGACGTTGAACATTTTTCATATGCTTGTTGGCCATGTGTATGTCTTCTTTTGAGAAATGTGTGTTCATGTCCTTTGCCCATTTTTTAATAGGGTTTTAAAATTTTTGCTTGTTAATTTATTTAAGTTCCTTATAGATTCTGGATATTAGACCTCTGTTGGATGCAATTTGCAAATATTTTCTCCCATTCTGTAAGTTGTCCATTTATTCTGTTGATAGTTTCTTTTGCTGTGGAGAAGCTCTTTAATTAAGTCTCACTTGTCAATTTTCGTTTTGTTGCAGTTGCTTCTAGAGTCTTTATCAGGAAATCTTTGCCAAGGCCTATGTCCAGAATGGTATTTCTGAGGTTTTCTTCTAGGGTTTTTGTAAAAAGATGGAATGCACCCATGTGCGGTGGCTCACGCCTGTAATCTCAGCACATTGGGAGACTGAGGCGGATGGATCACCTGAGGTCAGGAGTTCGAGACCAGCCTGGCCAACATGGTGAAACCCCATCTCTACTAAAAACACAAAAATTAGCCGGACATGGTGGCACATGCCTGTAATCCCAGCTACTCAGGAGGTTGAGGCAGGAGAATCACTTGAAACCAGGAGACGGAGGTTGCAGTGAGCCAAGATCGTGCCACTGCACTCCAGCCTGGGTGACAGAGTGAGACTCCATCTCAAAATAATAATAATAATAATAATAATAAAAAAGACGGAATATTTCGTGAATTTGCATGTCATCCTTGTGCAGGGACCATGCTAATCCTGTATTACTCGACTTTTATTATATGTGCTGCCAAAGCGAACACCATTGAGGGTTCTTGAGCAGGGTAATATGATACAATATAGAAAACAGGGAGCTGGGTGAGACCCTGTGAGGAAGGTGCCTGCTTCTCCTTCGCCTTCCGCCATAATTGTAAGTTTTCTGAGGCCTCCCCAGCCACGCAGAACTGTGAGTCATTTAAATGGTCTTTCCTTTGTAAATGACCCAGTCTTGGGCATTTCTTCCTAGCAGGGTGAGAACAGATTCATACTCCTCCATCACCAAATGTCATCATTGCCGCCTTCAAAATGTATCTTCAGTCCGTCTGATTCAGGCTGTCTGGCCCCTCCCTCATTTTTGCCACTGTTGAGTTCTCTCACTTAGTTCCTCACGTTCACTCTGGCTCCCTTTCAAGCCACTCTTCTCTCAGCACCCAGAGGAATCTTTTTGAAACATCCCTCTGAGCATGTTGTTCTTCCAACTAAAATGTGTCAGTGACGACCCATTGCTCTTGGGATAGAAATGTGATTTTTTACTGTGGCCCACAAGGGTCTTCATGATTTGGCCCCTGCCTGCCTCTCCAGTGTCATGTCATATCACTCTCTACCTTGTTCTTTACATCCTGGCCTGCTGTTTTGGTCTTCTACTTCCTGTGTGCTAAACATCTGTTAGCTTTGGGGCCTCTGTACTGCCTTTTCCTCTACCTGAAACACTTTTCCCTCCTCCTTCAATTAGCCATGTCTTTCTTAACCTAAAGTCTCAGCCTGAATACTACTTTGCCAGGAAAGCCTTCCTTAAACTCCTCAACTGGGTTTGGTCTTCCTATTATATATTCATATTCTGTATTTTATAGCACCTATATTTATCATCTAAATTATTGTGTAAGTATCTGCTTCATGTTTGTCTCCCCTATTAGACCATAAGCGCCATGAGGATGGAAATTATCTGTCTCATTAACTGCCTGACAAAGCTCCCAATACAAAGTGTATACTTAATAAATATTTGTTGACTGGGTAAATTATGCATAAAGGCAGGTTATAACAATATGAGAGTTTAGGAAGATTATTATGGAAATTAGAAAAAAAGAAGCAAATAAAATGAACATTGAGATTGCTATTGGACGATCCATGGAAAAAGATAACCCCAACTTCACAAACCCATAAAGAGTAGGCAAAAATACTGCTCTTGCCTCTTGGAGAAAAACTCTGAAAGGAAGACCATAACAAGTTAAGGAATGCCTCCTACAGAGATTAGAAAGACAAATACTCCGTAAGAAAAAGCTGAGAGACAGGTCAGTCCTGAAGCCTTGGTTTCATCCATGGTCATAAGCACCAATTTCTTTCTTTCTTTTCTTTCTTTTTTTTTTTTTTGAGATGGCGTCTTGCTCTGTTGCCCAGGCTGGAATGCAGTGGCATGATCTCGGCCCACTGCAACCCCCGCCTCCTGGGTTCAAGCGATTCTTCTGCCTCAGCCTCCCAAGTAGCTGGGACTACAGGCGCGTGCCACCACGCCCGGCTAATTTCTGTATTTTTAGTAGAGGCGGGATTTCACCATATTGGCCAGTCTGGTCTTGAACTCCCGACCTCGTGATCTGCCTGCCTCAGGCTCCCAAAGTGCTGGGATTACAGGCATGAGACACCGTGCCCAGCCTATAAGCACCAATTTCAAGCAGGATTAAAGCCTCATTAAAGAAGCCTAAGAAACATGTTACTTTTTCCAGATATTTGGCAGTGACCCAAGGTCAGCATTGGTTTCCCACTATACACACTATAACCTTCTTGTTTCTCTCTTTCATTTAGGGGCCATTAAGTTTAATGATGGCCTGAGCTTACAGGAAAGTTGCCGCCTTATTGAAACTCTGTCCTCGTGCCAGCTGCCATTCCAGTGTGCTCACGGGAGACCTTCTATGCTGCCATTAGCTGACATAGACCACTTGGAGCAGGAAAAACAGGTACATTAATGACTAACAGGAGCAGGAGGGAGCAAAGTTTATCTTCTCTTTCTTTTCTGGCTTTTACTACGCAACTGTAATCTGTCTTAATCCTTTCCAAAATAGGAGAGTTTTGCAAAATCTGCATTGGAAGTTTCACATAAAGCCTCACCGATTTCATTTTCCAGCTCAAATCCAAAATGGAGCTTAGACTGAACTGTCAGGTCACCTACATAATGGCTTTGTATTTTAAAACTTAACACATGTACAGACTTATGTATCCTGAATATCTGTTGCCTGCTGGCTCTAGGTTTGATAATTCGCAGTTCTTCCTAAAGCTACTGAAAGTTGGTAGAAGCACAGCAAATTCACTGTTGGCAATATAGAGCCTCCGCATCCAGTTTCTTGATAGTACCTGCTGGAAATGGTGATCTGTGACTGTACCTGGCCATCCCCAAGGATCTTGAGTTATAGTTTGAGGATGGTCAGACAGGGACCCAAGCTTGGGGATCTCTACATTATGCTTTGGCCCTAATTATCCAGCAACCTGCAAACTACAATGTGGGTAATGCAATAAAGGCACAGAATGGCTTAAATTAAGAACCTCTGTCCTTGTTATAATCTTCAATGAAGGAGAACGTGGAGAACATAACAGGAATGTCTCTGTTGCTGCTTTCCAAAATCTTTTTTTTCTTTTTTTTGTTTTTTGAGACGGAGTTTTGCTCTTGTTGCCCAGGCTGGAGTACAGTGGTGCAATCTCGGCTCACCGCAACCTCCGCCTCCCGGGTTCAAGCAATTCTCCTGCCTCAGCCTCTGGTGTAGCTGGGATTACAGGCATGCGCCACCACGCCCGGCTAATTTTACATTTTTAGTAGAGACGGGGTTTCTCCATGTTGGTCAGGCTGGTCTCGAACTCCCGACCTCAGGTGATCTGTCCACCTTGGCCTCCCAAAGTGCTGGACTATAGGCATGAGCCACCACACCCTGCCCCAGATCTTTTCTTTTGCTAACCTTTCCCTGCTAAGGGATATAAAATCTTTTCTTGCATGGAGTTTTCAGGTACTAATGTTTTCTGACTCAACTAGCTGATTTTACTTCATTAAAACCTCTTTGTTTCACAAAGAAAAATACGAAGAAAGTTTTTTTCCATTGCTGAAGAGCTTGGAATCTAGACTTAAAGTTATCAGTCCCCTTTGATCCTTAAAAACATCTATAATCTCCATTGAATCCACAAGTTAGAAATCTAAACAGATTATAACAACCAGACTTTGGAAATATTTGTATGCTACCTACATTTTCTTTTTCTTTTTTTTTTCTTTTATTTATTTTTATTTTTTTGAGATGGAGTCTCACTCTGTTGCCCAGGCTGGAGTGCAGTGGTGCAATCTCAGCTCACCACAACCTCCATCTCCCAGGTTCAAGCAATTCTCCTGCCTCAGCCTCCTGAGTAGCTGGGATTACAGGCGTGCACCACCACGCCCGGCTAATTTTTTTTGTATTTTTAGTAGAGACAGGATTTCACCATATTGGCCAGGCTGGTCTCGAACTCCTGACCTTGTGATCCGCCTGCCTCAGCCTCCCAGAGTGCTGGGATTATAGACGTGCACCACCACGCCCAGCTAATTTTTTTTGTATTTTTAGTAGAGACAGGGTTTCACTATGTTGGCCAGGCTGGTCTCAAACTCCTGACCTTGTGATCCGCCTGCCTAGGCCTCCCAGAGTGCTGGGATTACAGGCATGAGCCACTGTGCCCGGCCTATATGCTACCTACATTTTCATATTGCTAATTGAAGTTATTCTTTCTTCCCATAGATTAAACCCAATCTCGCTAAACTTCGCAAAATGGCCCAGGCCTGGCGTCTCTTTGGAAAAGCAGAGTGTGATACAACGCAGAGCCTGCAGCAATCCATGCCTCCCTGTGAGCCACCATGAGAACAGAATCACTGGTCTAAAGGAACAAAGGGATTTTCACTGTATGCCTCTGAGCAGAGAGCAGCAGCAGCAGGTACCAGCACGGCCCTGACTGAATCAGCCCAGTGTCCCTGAGCAGCTTAGACAACAGGGCTCTTTGTATCAGTCTTTCTTGAGCAGATGATTCCTCTAGTTGAGTAGCCAGATGGAATTCAAGCCTAAAGACAGTTCATTCATTTGCATCCATGGACACAGAAGGTTGCCATATAGTATCTACCTTTTGCTACTTATTTAATGATAAAATTTAATGATCATTTGATTGGTTGCTTGGTTTGTTATTTGAAGGGTGTGATTTTTGTTTCCGTACAGCTTTTTTTTCACGCTTCACATTTGCGTGTATCTAATTCAGCTGATGCTCAAGTCCAAGGGGTAGTCTGCCTTCCCAGGCTGCCCCCAGGGTTTCTCCACTGGTCCCTCCTTTTCCCTTCAGTCTTCTTCACTTCCCTGTGCTGCTGCTTCACGTGCTGCATCTCAGACTTAAAGAGTTTCTCTACTTTCAGTGAAAACACTCTCTAGGGTCTTTCATCAGGCCTTTAGTTATTTTAGGGGTAAAAACTATGGATAAAAAGGACAAGGATAGAACAGAGAAAATTTAAAGTCCTGTTCCGGGTTTTTTGTTTTGTTTTCTTTAAAAACTCGAGACTGAGGCCGGGCGCGGTGGCTCAAGCCTGTAATCCCAGCACTTTGGGAGGCCGAGACGGGCGGATCACGAGGTCAGGAGATCGAGACCATCCTGGCTAACACGGTGAAACCCCATCTCTACTAAAAAATACAAAAAACTAGCCGGGCGAGGTGGCGGGCGCCTGTACTCCCAGCTACTCGGGAGGCTGAGGCAGGAGAATGGTGTGAACCCAGGAGGCGGAGCTTGCAGTGAGCCGAGATCGTGCCACTGCACTCCAGCCTGGGAGACAGAGCGACACTCCGTCTCAAAAAAAAAAAAAACTCAGAGACTGATGTTCAATATCCCAAACCAGTGAAATGGAGAAAACACTATGAGCTTGTTTTTTAAAATATGATCTTTTTTTGGTACTTCATAAAGTATCTCTTTATGTGACAGCAATTGTCATATCAAAACACAGCATATCTATGTTCAACTTAAACAAATATGTTTACACTTTCCCTTTCAGGAGACAAGGGTTCTGTGGGTCCCTTTCAAACAGTATCTTAGTGTTATTACATTATGCCTATCTATTGCCCTTATAATTTCACTTGGGACCAGGACTGATCATTCTGCAAATGCTTGTTAGGCCATTCTCAATCTATTTTTCCCACACCTTTTCACATGATTTGTGGTTAATAGGACTCAATAGACTAAAATTGCATAGTAGAAAAAAAAAATACAAAAAGCCAGCTGGTAATGTTTATTGCAACAGGGGTGCTATACAATTAGTAAGAGGATGCAATGAGAATTTCTACTTTTGTATTTCCTGACCAGCCTGCTCAAAGTGGCTTTTATATCAATGGAATGATTTTCCTCATTTTTTAATACAGGAAACCAATTCGTGCTCATGGAAGAAAAGTTCCTTTGCCAGCAGCCTTGAAGTGAATCTTACAGGAGCAATGAAAGTATTGCATTCATTAGCATCTGCCCCAGAGAAGGTTCAGGGAAAACCTTCACTTGTTTTCAAGGGGATCCTTGTAGACTTACGTAATTGGAACCCTGAAGAACAGGCCCTACTGTCTAAAAATGGCTTTTATTCTTCTAAATACATATAAACGGGTGTTTTATAGATGGGAAAACATGACCTTAGAAAGGAGGGAGTTTTCAGAGGATTTGCAGGCTGTCAGGGGCTCTGCCTCCAGGCCCAGTGTGGCAGTGTGGCCTCAGGGCCTCCGCCTCCCTGCTTAAGGGCTGCACAGAGGCCAACTGTCCTGGGAGTTGTAAAAATCTTTTCGGGTCAGACCAATTTGAGAGATTTTAAAAAGTGTCTCAATGCCTCATGATTTCAGAAGGTTTTGCTATATGTAATCCCAACTACAATTTTCTTGAGAGTAGCAGAGGATTAGAAAAAGTCCTCCATAAATTACGTAATTGGCCTTCCTGGCTAGCCTGACTCAAGCAATGTCAGAAATAATTATTCTATTTTCATAATTTATAAGTGTGGGAGCAGGCCTCAGCATTCAAACAACCTGTTAGAGAAAAACATCTAATAGATTACCTTTATCGCCTATTAAGGTTTTATGTTGTTTTTAACTCAGATGCCATAAGAACAAAGATACATGTAATTTATAAAGTAATCATTAATACCTATATTGTGCTTTAAGGTTTACAAAATATTTTTTCTCATACTTTATCTTATTTTAATTTCTTGACAGTCCGTGAGGTAAGGTGGTAGCTTCATCACCATTTTACAAAGTGGGAAACGAAGGTGCAGAACCGTGCTCTTAGGAACCTGGTTGTCCCCCTTTGTATAATAAAACTTCGAAGCTCGGAGCTGTTAACTGGTTTGCTGAAGGCTTAGCTGTGAGAGCCAGAATTCAGACCCAGGTCTGAGTGACTTCAAACTGCACACTCCTTCCCATTATTACCCATATGCTGTCCCTTATATTTTTAATTTATTAGGAATTCATTCATTTATAAACTTGGTGATTCACCTTCATTCGATTCTGGTCACTGAAGGCTTTAGTAACTTCAGAGTAAAACTTGAGAGATGAGATGTGAAATGCAGCCATTCTTCAGAGTTCCTTTTTCTGTAACATTCATCAACACTTCATTGAGAAGTGAAGGTTCCTATGGCTGTCTCTGCCTTCAAGAGGCTTAGCTTTAGTCAATGAGAAAGACAAGGAAACTAACGATAGAATATAGTAGCTTCCTCTGGCGTTAGGTATTACAGAGTCACAGCTAGTGACAGCTAGCCTTTTATTATTGAAAGAAGAGGAGCTAACAGTCCCACTATCAGAATTAATACTAGAGATGGCAATGGGAGCTAGTATCGGAAAAGCTTAAGGCAAAACATAAAGTGTAGGCTAGAATGAAGCTGGAGAATGGGGAGGGGGCTTGGGTAACATCCAGAATCTGGCTGGGGACCTGGAACTACATGAGATGTAAGAATGGAGGGGTTCTAGCAGTAGTCAGAGGTCAGGTACAAATGAACAGCTGGGATCTGGGCACGGCAGACAGTGAAAAAACCCAGGCAAGCAAAACGGTCAGAGCAGGAGGGGGCCCAAGGCCACATTCCTGAGATGTGGAGGGGCTGAGGAGCCATGCCAAGTGAGAACAGATGCAGCTCAGCAGTTCCTAGCAAGCCCTGACAAGCCAGCTCAGCTGAAGCTTCGGGTGGGAGCCAGTCATGGCACAGTGGAGTGAAGGAAGAGCAGTTTCAGGCACCCAGAACCTGACCCCCACGACTTGTTTTCCACCTGAAGAGCCACCCATTCCATCCAAACCCTTTGCAAAAGTCTGCTAACAGAACCGGCCAGTGTGCTGGCCACTCACGATCATGCCTGTCTGTCTTTACCCTCTAAGCTGAAGCTGCGCGTCAACGGTGAAATGGCAAAAAGGTGGGTCCAGAAGAGGGGAAAAGAAGGAAGTCTGGGAAAACAAAATGCTGAAGAATCTGCACCAAATAAACCCTTCCTTCCTTCTTCCTTCCATCCCTCTCTTCATCATTCAGCAAATCTTCAGTGAGTTCCCTTCTGAATGTATTGTATTAGAACTTGTGCAGGATATAAAGGGAAAAAAACAGGTTATCACATGGTTTAGGATGTTTCCAACCCTTGGATCATTTTCACCACAGGCCCATTAGTTACAGAGCACTGTCTTACCCAGAAGCATCGGATCTAGTCCAGGCAACCGGATCCAAGTGTGTGGGAATCGCAGTGTGCTGCATGTGGGAATCTATCAGGCCAGCATGACTTGAGCAGCAGCCTGCAGAAGTGGGATTTGGCCAGCCTTGCCTGACTCTGGCCTTACAACTTGCTCTTATCTACTTCCAAAGTAAGGAGTGCCCCATGATGGGCCAAGCAGTTCAAAAAAAAGTGGCTTGGAGTTAGCTACCGCAGTTAGCAGTTTCTCATTATTCAACATTGCATTACCTCTTTTTCACATTAGTTAACTGCAGAATTTTATTTTCATGTATTTATCTTTCCAACCCCAGTGTTGTAGGAAGAATATTACATATAAATGATGACTTAGGAATCTTGTCAAATTTTTATTTCTTCAGCACTAAGTAGCTTATTTTCTAGGCAGGTCTTAATTCTAAATGTAACATGCTTGAAAAAAACACTATTGAAAGGATCCATCTCTTCAGCATAGAATTTAATATACATATCAGGCAATCACCATCTCAAGCATGATTAGACTCAAGCGCTGCCCTCCATCGTGTGAGGGATGCCAGGAAACTGGAAGCTTAGACTTTAGCTCTTTATTATTAAGTTGGTGCAAAAGTAATTGCAGTTTTTACCATTAATAATAATAGTTGCCTAGCCATTGTGCAGTACCTTGCAAGAGCTCTTTGGCAAATGAAAGAATAATTCAAAGCAAAGTAGGCCAGATATAAAACACTTCCAAATCACATTTCAAAATTGTCCTTTCGTGTCAACTAGGTGCATGTCTGCTAAGGGAGTTTTTGCAAGGACAGGTGGATAGTATGAGGCCTTTACAATAATCACATTACCATCTGGTACTATCTATATGGCAGAGCCGTTCTGATGTAGCTGTATTATCACAGATCATTACAGAGTATGCCAGTCATTCCATGATGGGACTGTGACTGGCAGCCTTTCTTAGCCCAAAGACTGATGCAACAGATTGCTTTGAGAAATAGTTTTGAAGCACATCCATGAAACATATGATCCTATGGGTACCAGCATTGATTTCTTTGAGGTATCGTTTTACACTTCAGTTTTTCCTGGTAGAGTATTTTTCTGAGACGTCTCTTCTGAGGCTAAATTAGGAATTTCTGTTCCTTCTTCAAGTTCCAAGAATTGTGCCTCTCCTGCCCTCTGCCCAGACTGGAAGATAGAAACCGTGGGAAAAAAAGTGTCTTTACAAACTGCAGTTATCTAACTTGGTTTATTTAACATATTCAGGAAGACTTTCACATCCATGGAATCCTAGTTCTATTAATTCTCTCCAAGCTACAACAGTTGTTTTTTTGTTTGTTTTTTTTTTTCGAGTTTCTCGGTTCTGCCAGCAAGGCAGGGGTGGGAGGTGGGCACCCCTGATACCAATGCTGACAGGTAGTGAGTTGACGTGGAACTGTTTCCTCCTGTTCAGTTCAGGTTCTCTCTTTCTGATACTTACCCCTCCTCAAATAGGGAAACAAAGAGAGAGGAAATAGGAAGATGAGCCTTAATAGGGTTTACTTAATTGGGGGCATAAAGGTTCTAAAAAGTATGCATTCCTGCAGTTCTGTTCTTAGCACTGTAAGAGCTGATCAGAAAGAGAGCTTCTACCCTTATAACCTTCATCCATCTCAGTCATGCCTGGGAAGGACGTTGGTGCTAATTTTAGACACAGAGACTAAGATAGACAAAGGACAAGTATCATAAAGCGTTTTTGGAGCCAGGAACAGATTTAAGTTCCTTGCCTCACTGCTGCTCTTACTCCAAACCACACAATTGTACCCAAGTGAATTGCTGTTAGAATTGGTGCCTTTGGAGGAGACAATTGCTTGTAATTGGTAGCTACAAGCCACTTCACTGAGAAAGCATGGGGTCTTAGATGCTTTAAGAAATAATAGAAAGACTGAGCCTGAGTGAGTCAGGCTCTTCTGAGTCATACAGTTTTTAGGTCAGTGTAAAATACTGACTTTCTGAGGTCTTACTTTTTTCCCTCTCTGGAAGACCTAAAGCAAAGATCTCTCTCAAAGAGGTATTAAAGAATAGAGGCCTTTCCCTCAGAACCTACTTCTGCCCAGTGTTCACCAAAATGTGGTTTCAAATCACCTGTTCAAAGCCCACAGGGTGCTTATTTGTTAAACATGCAGATTCTTAGTGCTCCCTCCACCCACACAGACACTGCACAAGAGGCCCTGCTGTGGACCACTAGTTCCTAAACATGGCAGAAAATCTGGATCACCTGGGAGACTTTTTAAGTTAAAAACCAGAAACAGTATATAAGCATAAACATGTCAACAAAATGAGAGGATGTCCCTCTGCTTGCCATGCTTGGTATTTTACTTCTATACTGTTTCCCTATACGTGTACATATAATTTTGTTTTGTTTTTGTCAGAGTCTCACCCACTCTTGCCCAGGCTAAAGTGCAGTGGCCCAATGGCACTGCTCACTGCAGCCTCCACTTCCCCAGTTCAGACTCCCGAGTAGCTGGGACTACAGGTACCCACAACCACACCTGGCTAACTTTTGTATTTTTAGTGGAGACTAAAAATTTTATTATAGTATTTTAGTTTCACGATTTTGACCAGGCTGGTCTCAAACTCCTGACCTCAAGTGATCTGCCCTCCTTGGCCTCCCAAAGTGCTCGGATTATAGGCATGAGCCAGTGCGCCCGGCCAGTGTCGTTTTGTTTTCATGAAATGAGTCCGTATTATGCACATTGCTCTGCAGCTTTTTGGTTTTCCCAGCTTGTTTTTAACAGAGTATCAAATGGACTTCCTTGCAAATCTGTCCTATTAACATGAGGATCACAATTCAGATGCCTACAGGGGTTAGGCAGATAACATAAATGAGTTAAATGGATCCAGTAGGAACTGCAGAAAACTGGAGATGTTTCATCTTATTGCGTCAGATATTACCCAACCGCAAACTAACTACTGCCATTTGGAAATGTTGGCCCAGAGTTGCCAAATTTGAGTTTTCAAGAAGAGCAAGATATCTGAATTTTTGAAATGTGCAATCTCTAGATTTTTAAATATTGGTAACAAATTCACATTAAATGCAGTGAACCAGCCCAAATGTCTTCAATCCAGACACTGCCCCTCCAGCCATCCTTCTGAAATTTCTATTGCCATGTATAATGTTCCACAGTGTAACTGTCAATACTTACTCAACATTTCTCCTATTGCTGGACACTTAGGCTATGACATTACAACTACTACACTCTGTATAAATCTTTGTGCTTATATAAATATGGAAATACAGCTTCCAAATTGCCCTCTAAAAGGTTGTACCAATTTATAGTCCTATAAACACTGCATGAGACTATCCTTTTCTGGGAAGCTTTAAACAGATTCCCAGGTGGTAACCCAGAGATCAGATGCAGTAGGTCTAAGATGAAACCCAAGACTGTGTGAGTGACCGGAATGACTCAGGTGATTCTGATGATCAGAGAGGTTTTGGAACTACCGTTTTAGCCTATTAACAAGCTGTTTGGGGCCATGAGCAGTGAATTGTAGAAGAAACTGTACTTTCATTTGTATTTCTGTTTTTTAATTTTATTTAGAGACAGGGTCTTGCTCTATCATCCCGGGAGTGCAGTGGTACAATCATAGCTCACTGAAGCTTGAACTCATGGGCTCAAGTGATCCTCCCACCTCAGCCTCCAGAATAGCAAGGCCACAGGTATGTGCCACCATGTCTGGCTAATTTAAAAAAAAAAAAATTTTGTAGAGACAGGATCTTGCTATGTTGCCAGGCTAATCTCAAACTCCAGGCCTCAAACAATCCTCCCACCTCAGCTTCCCAAAGTGCCAGGATTACAAATGGGAGCCACTGCATCTGGCCACTACTTCCATGTTGTACACTTTTCCCGCTAACTACAGCCCTCTATGCAAACACAAAAAAGGCTCTGCTGCTGCTGTTTCAAGCAGTTCTGTCAGAGCAGGACAACAAATAAACCAACTATGGAACCTTCAAGTGGCTTTTATTGGCAGAGCCTAGAAGAAGTGTCGTAGCCATTTCTGAGCAAAAATCTGTATCCCAGCAAGGTATTCAGTGTTATGTTTAACACACTACTGAACCAGAAAGTTTAAGTTCCTGACACAGACGCAACCAGGTCACTAAAAGGCTCCTAAATCAACAGGTTAAGCCTCGCTGCTGTGTTAAGATCTGAAAGGCAAGACACAGTCCTGGATGTGTGCCCTTGATACAGGGTGACTAAAAAGGCAGGCAACAGTATCAAGGATTTTTTTTAGGTGTACTCCTGTGCACTCCCACATTGCAAGGATGTGTTTCAGCAGCAGCCCTCAAGTCTCCTCTTCATTCTGTATCTGCCTAAGCAATCTCTGCTTAGGACAAGTGTGGTCGGTCATAAAACATGATCATCAGGATGGTAGAGTTCACTCATCAGGCGGTAGATGTAGGAAGGTGCATTCCCACCAATGTTGGAGATAAAGAGGGTAATGAGCTCTGGTGGGACGTAGTCAAACACAGGGCAATGCACGCTGACCTTCTCCAGAATGTCCCCTGAAAGGCAAGCACACGTGCTAAAGGTAAAACTGAGCCTCCCTCTCTCATAATTAAGTAGCATATAGATTCCAGCCTCGAGAATGCAGGCATATTAGCTCCCCAAGGATGGGAAGCTATGAAAAAATGCAAACCAGAAGAGATGACTTCAGATCATGACAACCCCTGCTTACAACTCTTCCGTGCCTCTGCATAGCCCTTAGAATAAAATTCAAACTCAGGACTGAAATGTAAGATCTGGGCCCTCCCTGCCACACCACATGAAGTACAATTTGGACCACTCTTCCCCTTGCTCATTACTGTCTAGCCATGTATGCCATCCTTTTCTAACTGGCTAAGCCCCCTGCACCAGCTCATGGAAAACTCTATGATCTTCATATGGTGGACTGTATTCATTCAGGACTCAGATGAAATGTCATCTCATTAAGACCCTTCCTCAATCTCAGTTAGGCCCCTAGCCACTTTCTATCACATCAGCCTTGCTTGTCCTCAGGCATCCCATGACCTGATACTTTCTCATCTGTCTTCCACAATAGAATGTGTGGGAACAAGGCCTTATCTTTTTCATTCATTGTTATATCTTCAGTGCCTAGAAGAGTGCTGGATACATTGTAGGTGCTCAGTAACTATTTCCTGAAGAATGAATGTTTATTTAAATAAAGGGATGAAGTCATTCAACTTCCAAGAGGAACTAGAACCCCAACTACTATGCGTTGCTCTCAGAGGGTGTATAAGGCCACCCTTGCTGATGAGGCTGCAGGCATAATGAGCTGAGCTGCTGCCTTCAGAGGAAGCCAGAGAAAAGAACCCTAACACATGAGATTATCCAGGCTACAGGCAAGTTTTCTAAGTAGGAACATTTCACAGCCTGCTTCCTTTGGGAGTCAATTTACCAAAATGACTCCTTATATAGCAGGAAAACGGGTACATTTTCCCAACTGGTTGTTGATATCTCAAAGAGCATGCAAAGCCAAACCCAGACAATGCTAGATGATCCAACCCACAGTAGCCCCAACAAATCTAAAATACATTCGTCTCAGAACAAATTAACATGGACTTGATCAGGTCCTCAAGCACTTTGACCTGCTAAAGAAAACAATCCCCCCAAGAAGTATGATAAAAAACACAACCTGACAGCATTCAGTTCTACTGACCAACAAAACGACAAAAAGACCAAAACACATGCACGCACAAACCCCAAATACACACAACACATGCACGCATGCGCACATGCACACACAGCTTTTGTACCTTCTGTGAATGGCAGGACTTCTTCAGGAGCCACAAACTTATGAAATGAGTCTTCTTCGTTGGGGAACTAGAAAGGAAAAAATTTTTAAAAACTAGAGACCCAGCAATTCCACTCCTAGATATGTACCCTAGAGAAATGAAAACATATGTTCACACAGAAAATTTATACACAGATGCTTATAGCATGATTATTCACAAAAGCCAAAAGGTGGAACCAACCCAAATGCCCATAAACAGATGAATGGATTAAATTGTGGTATGTTCATATAATGGAATATTATTCAGCCTCGAAAGGAAATTCTGACATTACAACATGGATGAACTTTGAAAACATCGTGCTAAGTGAAAAAAGTCAGGCACAACATGTCACGTATTATATGATTCCTTTTATACAAAATGGACAAATCCATAGAGACAGGAGCAGATTAGAGGAGATGGGGAGAAGAAGAAATAGGGAGAGATTACTTAATGGGTACAGGGAGTTTTTCTAGAGTGGAGAAAAAGTTTTGAAACTAGAGAGTGGTGGTTGTACAATGCTGTGAATGTACTAGATACCACTAAATGGTATACTTTAAAATGGTTAATTGTATGTTATGTGAATTTCACCTCAATTTAAAAAATAGAGACTATAAATAGTTTGATGTTTTCAAAGCAAATAGCTTCTATCACTGATGAAATGTCTCTTCACTTAGTCCCTGCTTGTATTCAGGTTACAAAGGACAGGCCCTGCAACAATAACAAAACTGATTCTATGATCCTAGTGTCAACCTGCTTGGCATTTTCAGAAATGGTCAGGTGACGGGGAGTGGTGGCAATCGTAAGGAAAGGACCTTTCCCAACTACATATTGTCCTCACAATCTTGCCTTCCTAAAGCTGGCAGCTTAGAACTCTCAACTATTTTACTGAATCAAGACTTCTGTGGTTCTTTCCAGCCTCCACTGGTTGTAATCCATTGAGTAAATGCAGATAAATGGAGGCCCTGGAGTGAGTTGGTTGAAGTCCCAGAGTTCAAGCCTACCCTTTGGCTTCCTTCTTTCTGCTGGCTTCTAGCTAGAGACAGACACACATACCTGTGGGGAAAGTTTGAACATTGGTGCACAGACGATGAGTGGGGTGGAATGGTGTTTTGCTGCCAGTGCCAGAGTGTGAGTTCCTGTCACAGCTCTCAGGGCACCATTGGCCAGGATGGTCTTCGTGCCAATGATTACCTTTCAGACAAGAAGAAAAATGTGAGTCATCCTGGGGGTGGAGCCTTAAAAGGGCCACTGGCCACAAAAAGCTGAATGCTCAGGCCTCAGAATGGTATCATGAGGGGTCACAGACTGGTAGAGGGGAAGGGATCCCTGGCTCAGTACAAGTTCTAGCTTAAAAGTAGGTTGCCAAGGAAAGAATGAATGTAAAATGGGACAAGAAACTGCAAAACCTACTGCTCTCAGTCCCATATTTTCTGGAAATTGAGATGCCATACCTTCTGAGAAGCCAGGAACCTTTTTCATTCACTATCCACAACTGCCAAGCTCTTTGAGCATAAGGCAGGAGCCCTGTAGCCAATCCCTAGCAACTGACACTCTTGCTTTAGTTCTATTTAGTACTTCATTGTTTTCAATGCTTCAACCAAATTTAGAGGCTACTCCAAGAAAGGAACAATGATGCAGAAAAAGGGAAAAGAAATTCAGTATGTACTTTAAAAGGTGCTAGAAACTTCTTTCTCTCACCATGGATATTACAGGAGATAAAAATCAATTTTAGAAACATAACCTTCATGAATTCAACATAAGTCCAAATATGCCCACCTTGTTGACTCTTGACATAACAGCAAAAATGGCAGCATCAGTCATGACAGTTGTCTCAATACCTGCTTTGGACAAATTCACAGCCATTTCATGACCCTGCAATGGGAGGGAAAGGCTGATTCTAAGAGAAAGAGTGAGAAATAGTGAAGAGTGCTCTCAAATGTAACTGGATCTGGGGAATTGTGTGATATGGGCATATCCAGCACATAATTTTCAATAGATAACTCATTTTTCGGACAACTAAGTTTTTGGACTATCATAGCTCTGGTAAGCTGTAGGGAAGCCCAGGGGAAGCTAATAAATGTCTAGTGCTCCAGCCACAAAACTGGAAATACAACGTGCGTGTATAACATAATCACGATTGCTGACAAGATAGCTCCTGGCTCATTATCTTAAAACATCCTGCATCCTTACATATTTCCTTTTTGAGACCTATTATTTACTTAGGATCGAGTGAGGTCAGACCAAGCATCAGTCATCCTCAAGGTAATTTACCCTGCTTTGATTCCTAAAAGAACCAACCTATGTTTCCTTGGACCCCGCGGTTTCCCCCCTTTTTTTTTTTTTTGAGACAGAGTCTTGCTCTGTGGTACAGGCTGGAGTGCAGTGGCGCTATCTTGGCTCATTGCAACCTCTGCTTTCCAGGTGCAAGCAATTCTCCTGCCTCAACCTCCAGAGTAGCTGGGATTACAGGCATGCACCAGCATGCCCAGCTAATTTTTGTATTTTTAGTAGAGATGGGGTTTCGTCATGTTGGCCAGACTGCTCTCAAACTCCTGACCTCAGGTGATCCGCCCGCCTCAGTCTCCCAAAGTGCTGGGATTACGGGCATGAACCACCACTCCCAGTCCCAACTTTCTTAAACCACTATTTAAGAATGTTCACAGGACGAACACCTTGAAAATTCCCTTAATGTTTTAGTTTATCTTCTCAGTGTCTCAAAGTCTTGCTTATCAATTCGAGGTTGGAATGGCCCTACCCATCCCTTGTTTATTTCTTCTTCATTTTCCATTTTTCTTAGTAGCAGCTACAGCAGTCTCCTTACCTGGCAGAAAGGAGCGCACTCTGCTACAATGACATGGAATTTCCTCTTTCGGGCAGCCTCTTGGAGGAAGGCCTCTACTGTTCGGGAGAAGCCAATGGTCATGATCACCTCATTGGAGTGAATGTGCTCCAGAGCCTGGGCTGCAATGTTCTCCGTTGTCCCTTCTGCAAGAACAGTTTTGAAAAATATACATATATATGTCTATATATATATAATTGCTATGCTATATCACAAACACACATTATGAGTGTACGGAAAAAGATGTCTGCCCTTCACATGCACTGCCAACCCAGCAGACCCTGGTACCACAGGGTTAATGTGCTTAAAGTGAAATGTCACAATTTTTTTTTTTTTAAATAGAGATAGGGTCCCACTATGTTGCCCAGGCTGGTTTTGAACTCCTGGTTGCAAGCAATCCACTCACCTTGGCCTCCCAAAGTTGTGGGATTACAGGTGTGAGCCACCACGCCCAGCTATGTCACAATTTCTTAAAAGCCCCACTCTGGGATTTTCTGCCTGCCCTCTCCCAGAAGTACCCCTATCTATCAACCACCTCTGTCACTACAGAGCTCCTTACAACCGATTTTGAAGACAGTGAATTCAGCCAAGGAATGGCAATCTGGGAAATCCTAAAGTGCTGAGAATCGGGTGAACAGAGCTTCTGCCTAAAAGAACTCTTCCTTCAAAAGGTGGCCACAACACTTCTACGTGAGAGAGAATGGCCAGAGAAGAAAAACGGGGGAGGAATTTGGAAGCAGCTTCTTCATCATCTGATTATAATGAATATCTGCAAGTCACCTGGGCGGCAATGACAAGGGGGATAGAAATGGTATACGTGTACGTGTGTATAAAAATTCAGAGATAGTGAAGGAGGTCTTTCGACCTGGTTCTCTAGGGAGTTCATCTTCTTTACAATGAAAATAAAACTCTGTCCTAATAAAGTCTGTGCCACTCCACAGACTTGCAGTCTATCAAGGGTTGGTCTGTAAGGAAAAGTAGAGAGGGTTACTTTGGTCCCACCACCTGTTGCAACATTTCCTAATCAGGAAGGAGGACAAACCTCTGAGAACCAGAAGACTGGTAATATCCCATCTCTGCTAATGAACAACCTTCAGGGGCTTCTGTTCCCTTATTTGCCTGTGACCAGTCCCATTTTCCCAGCGATCAGGCCTCTTACCCAGCTCCACTAGCAGCTCATTAATCGCCTCAATGATGTTGGACTGGAGTTGGGCATAATGGAAGCTGAAATCCTCGTTCAGGCCTCCGGACGTCAACAGTTTGTGCAGGGACTCCTGCTGATCACTCTCGTCGCTGCGTCCATGGAGTCTATAGAGGCAACAAGACCCAAAGAGAGAGGTGGGGAGGAGTGGTCAGGCAGGTAACAAGGGCTGCTCAGCTCCAATAAAGTCTCCGAGCAGGGAGAGGGGCCCGTGGAAAAAGTGTCACTGGATCCAACCCGGAGCCCAGGACGTGAGCCTGACCTGCCATACTCCTCCCGGATAATCTTGAGCACTCTCCGCACCATGTTGCCCACGGTGGTCTCGGAGGGCTGAGCGGCCGTCATCCTCCTGCCCTCTCTGCGGATCAGCTCCATCAGCTCCCCTACAGTCCAAAAGAGAGAGGATAAGAGGAGCCAACGCGAAGTGAGGCCTGGGAAACTTTCAGCCTTGGGATCGGGAACAGACAGGGGCCGGGTTCGCTGACGGAGGCAGGCCGGCCTCACCCGCGTTGCTCCAGCGGTGGTCCGTGATGATCTGGCGTAGCAGCCCCAGGGTCTCCCGAGCCATTTCCTCGGAGCTGCGCGGCCCACCACCCCGCTTCAGGGTCTCCACGAAGCTCTCGATCCTCTCTGACAACTCCGACCCCTTCGCTGCTGATCCCGGCATCTCTAAGGTAGCTGCCTTCAGCCTTCACCCGCGGAATCCACACCTGCCAGACCACACAGTTTGCACTTCCGGGGCGGGCAAGGTCGGCTTCCGCCGTGAGGGGAGGGGGGAAACCACAAGTTTGAGGGGAAGCAGGCCACGCCCCTCGTTGCCACTCTCCCGCCCCCTTCCTCTGCCTGAGCCAATCACAGACGTGGGGCTCGGGTTGTTCAGTTACAACCGGGCCCGCGCGCCTCGGGGGCTGCAGGCTAGGAAGCGGCCTTTCTTGGCTCAGCCGACGGTGAACGGAAGTAACCCGTCCGGCCTGTAGAGGGTGGCTGGTCCCGTTGCTATGGGAGCAGCAAGTCTCTACGAGCCCCTCACCGCGACTTAAGGCTACACTGAAGAAGTTGCGGCACTCCCTCCTGTCTTCCCAGCTCGGTGACCGCCCGAGCTGTCACTCTTGAGTGTCAGCTGACACTGACTTTCCGAATGCGTGTCCAGGGTCGGCTGCCCCTTGGGCAGATGTCTCACTTTTGTTCTGTTACATTACTTGGTACCGTTTGCGCCTGTATCTAGTAGGTTCATCTCTCTGAAAACAAGGATCATATCTTTTGTTGCTTTTGTATTCTCAAGGCCTAACACGTCTAATAGAAGATAGCGAAATTAAGAGATGAGGAAGACTACGAACCATTAAGGAGATTCAAAGTGGGAGCCAATACAGAAGCAAAGATAACATCCTCCGATTTGGACAGAATTGTCCTCCTACAGAGAGGCCAGAGAGTATAACATAATACCAAGAGTTACCATTTACTTAAAGCTTACTGGATGTTGGGAACTGTATGTGAATTGTCTCAGTTAATAAGGTCTGAAATAGGTCCTCTTATCTCCATTTTACAGATTGGAAAACAGACCCACAGAATTTAAGCAGTTAATAAATGATTGGGTTCATACTTAAATCCAGGTCTTCCTGAACCCAAAGTCTGTGTGTAATAGAAATCTCTATTTCCTTAAGATAAATTATTCAAAGTGGAATCCTTAGGCGAGCACATTTTAAAGACTTTTGTTACAATTAACAAATTGCCCTCCAAAAAAATTATGTCAATACCAAAGTTAGCCAAAGGTAGTACAAAGAAAAGAAAATTACAGGTTAATATCTCTCATGAACATAGGAAGCAAAAATTGCAACAAATTATTAGCACATCAAATCCTGCAATACATAGAAAAAGAGTAATATGTAATTACAAAGTAAAACGTAAACCTGGAATGCAAAGCTGATCAAATACTTAAAAATCAATGTCATGTGCCATACTAACAATCTAAGAAGTAAAACCACATGATCATGTCAATTGATGCAGGAAGAAGCATTTGACAAAATTCGATATTCATGATACAAACTCTCAGAAAACTAGAACAAAAGGGAACTTCCTGAACTTGATAAAAGATATCTACAAAATCCTACACCAAAAATCATACTTCACAGTAAAAGATTGCTTTCTCCCTAAGATCGGGACAAGGCAAGGATGTCTACTTTCACCACTCCCATTTAACATCAATATGTGAAGTCCTAGCCCTCGCAATAAGGCAAGAAAAAGAAAAAGCATACAGAATGGAAAGAAACTGTCCCTGTTCACAGGAGACATGATAGTCTACACAGAAAATCCCAGAGTCAACAGCAACAAAAACAAAACCTCCTAGAACATAAGTTTAGCAAGGATACAAAAACTGTATTTCTATGTACTAGCAATGAATATCAGAAATTGAAGTTGAAAACACAGTCGCTCTAAAAAGCCATAAAATATTTGTCAGTTTTGCTGTGTTAGTTTTTATTTATTGACTTGTTTATTTTGAGACAGGGTCTCACGCTGTTGCCCAGGCTGGAGTGCAGTGGCATGCTCACTGCTCACTGCAGCCTCAACCTCCCCCGGCTCAAATAATCCTCCCACCTCAGCCTCTTGAGTAGCTGGGACTACAGGCACACACCATCATGCTGGATAATTGTATGTTAATTTTTAAATGTCTTTAAAATTGTATCAATTTACATGCTGGCTAGCAGTTACCATATTATAGCCAATTTTGGATATTGTCACTATTTTTTCGTATATCAAGTCATTAAAAAATAAGGTATATAGGCCAGGCATAGTGGCTCATGCCTGTAATCCCAGCACTTTGGGAGGCCAAGGTGGGCAGATCACCTGAAGGTCAAGAGTTTGGGACCAGCCTGGCCAACATGGCAAAACCCTGTCTCTACCAAAAATACAAAACTTAGCCAGGGGTGGTGGCACATGTTTGTAGTCCCAGCTACTAGGGAAGCTGAGGCAGGAGAATAGCTTGAACCTGGGAGGTGGAGGTTGCAGTGAACTGAGATTGTGCCACTGCACTCCAGCCTGGGTGACAGAACAAAACTGTGTCTCAAAAACAAACAACAACAACAAAAACCAAGGTGTATAGTATTTTATATATACTAAAGAATTTTTATGTGTGTGTATGCAAATTATAAAGCATGACGACGAACAGGTTGAGGAATGTGAACCAATTCCTCACTTTGAAACTAAAATATTTGAATTAACAGAGATAGGCCGGGCGCAGTGGCTCAAGCCTGTAATCCCAGCACTTTGGGAGGCCGAGACGGGCGGATCACGAGGTCAGGAGATCGAGACCATCCTGGCTAACACGGTGAAACCCCGTCTCTACTAAAAAATACAAAAAACTAGCCGGGCGAGGTGGTGGGCGCCTGTAGTCCCAGCTACTCGGGAGGCTGAGGCAGGAGAATGGCGTGAACCCGGGAGGCGGAGCTTGCAGTGAGCTGAGATCCAGCCACTGCGCTCCAGCCTGGGCGACAGAGCGAGACTCCGTCTCAAAAAAAAAAAAAAAAAGAATTAACAGAGATAGAAAGCAAAGCTGTGTTGGCCGGGCATAGTAGCTCACACCTGAATCCCAGCACTTTGGGAGGACAAGGTGGGAGGATGGCTTGAGCCCAAGAGTTGAAACCAGCACTGACAACAAGACCCCCATCTGTACAAAAAATTTAAAAATTAGCTAGGTGTGGTGATACATGTCTGTAGTCCCAACTACTTGGGAGGCTGATGGGGGAGGATCTCTTGAGCTTGGTAGGTCAAGGCTGCAGTGAGCTATGTATGATCCTGCAGTGAGCTATGATCCTGCCACTGCACTCCAGCTTGGGCAGCAGGGCAAGATCCTGTCTCAAAAAAAGATAATGAAAAGAGAGAAAGTAGAACTGTGGTTGCTAGGGTCTGAGGGGAGGGAGAGAGTTACTGTTTAATGGCTACAGAGTTTTAGTTTTGCAAGTTGAAGAGAGTTCTAGAGATAGATGGTGGATAATGGTTGTGCATTTATATTGCACAACAATGTGAATGTACTTCATGCCAGTTTAGTTTCACTAAACTGTACACTTAAAAAGGTTAAGATGGTAAAATTTATGTTCTGCGTTATTTTACAATTTAGGAAATATGTGGTATATTTCACTTTTTTCTGCTCAGTATGACATTCATAAAATTTATCCATGTCACATGTACCTGTAATTCTCTTATTTGCACTGGTGAATTTGTACTGGTGAGAACTTGTAGTTCTCTTATTTGCACTAGTATTTCACGTGACTGTAGCATAATTTATGTATTCATTTTTTTTCAACAGACGTTTGGGTTGTTTCCAGTCTTTTTAGGGAGGTGGGTGAACATAAACTATAAATAGTCCTGTGTATGTCTTGGCACTTATATAAGTGGAACAGCTAGATCAGAGGCTATATGAATGTTCAACTTTACAAATAGATCTAATTGTACAAAGTGGTTCAATTAATGTATGCTCCCTCCAGCAATATTTAAAGAGTTTCAGCTGACCTACATCCTTACTGACATGTGATATTATCAAATATCTTATTATTTGGGAATCAGGTAGGTATAAAAGGATATTTTACTGTGGTCTTAATTTGCATTTTCCTGATTACTGTTCATTACTTTCATGTGTTTGTTGGCCATGAGTTTTTTGTGAATTGTTTGTTTGTGCCTTTTACCTACTGTTTTTGGCTTAAAAAATTTTCCAAGTAGATTTGCAGGAGTTTATATATTCTAGATACTAATCTTCTTTCAAATATTTATCATATGAATAAATATCTTCTCCAAATTTTGGCTTGTATTCTTTACTTTGAGATGTCTTTGAGCAGAATTCTTGATTTTAATGTGTTAAAAGGTATCAACCTTGTCTTTTATACGTAATGCCTTTTCTGTCTTATTTCAGAAATTCAGCCAAGCACAGTGGATTTGCCAGGTGTTGGGATTACATACCTATAATCCCAACAATTTGGGAGGCCAAGGTAGGAGGATCACTTGAAGCGAGGAGTTCTAGACCAGTCTGGGAAAAATAGCAAGACACCATCTATACAAGAAATTTTTTAAATTAGCCAAGTGTGGTGGCATGTGCCTGTAGTGCCAGCTACTTGGGAGGCTGAGGTGAGAGGTTTGCTTGAGCCTAGGAGTTTGAAGTTACAGTGAGCTATGATAGCACCACTGCACTCCAGCCTAAGCAACATTTTTTCAACTCAAAAAAATGAAAAGATAAAAAAATCCATCCAGGTGCAGTGGCTCACACCTGTAATCCCAGTACTTTGGGAAGCCAAGGCAGGAGGATCACTTGAGCTCCAAAGCTTGAGACCAGCCTGGGTAACAGAGTAAGACCTTGTCTCTACAAAAAAAAAGATTTTTTTTTAATTAGCCAGGAATGGTGACTCACACCTCTGGTCCCAGCTACTTGGGAGGCTGCAGTGGGAGGATCTCTTGAGCCTGGGAAGTCAAGGCTGCAGTGAGCCGGGATCATACTACTGCACTGCAGCCTGAGTGGCAGAGTGAGTCCCTGTCTGGAAAAAAAAAAAGAAAAAAAAAAAGAAAACAGAAGAAATTCTTCCCTAATCCACAATTACAAATATAATCTCCTATATTTTCTTCTGGTTATTAAAAAAATTATCTTTACATATAATTTGGAATTGCTTTTTATGTAAGGTGAGAGGTGTGAATCCAATTTTGTTTTTCCATTCTTCAGTGATTTTTAATGTCACCACTGTCATATGTCAAGTTTCTATAATGTGTGAGTCTGTTTGGCGGCTATTTGGTTTCATTGC